ATATATTATGATATTTATATGTGTGTGTATATATATATATATATATATATATGCACACATATATAATATTATCATGTATTGCACCCAGGACCTTGTGCTTGCAAGCAGGCAGAGTGCCACTGAGCTAAATCCCCAGCCCTGTACATGGTATATCTTGATTCCTCCTTTTCTCCCAATCCCCTCCCCTCTCTTCAACCTCCCTTATTTACAAAAACTTCGTTTCCATTTTTTCTGACTTTTCTCACTTTTTTTTCCTTTACGTTCCTTTTCCCTCCCTCCCCACTTCACAGTTTTCCTTTCCTTTTGAACAGTTTCTTCCTATTTCATTTTATCTATGCTACATTTTGGTCTTCATTTACCCTTTTAATTTCTCACATCAGAAAGACTGCAATATTTACACGTCTTCGATTTGTTTCACTTAAGAGTATGATGTCAAGTTGCATCTATTAAATAATATTCCTGCTCTTTTTTGATTGATTTTTGTCTGGTATGTGCTTTTAATAATTTTTTCCTTTCAACCTGCGTGTGTCACTGAGTTCCAAGTACATATCCTGTGAGATCAGTGTATGTACATGTGTATATTTATCTACTCTGTCAATTTTTGTCTTTATTTTTAGACCATATATACATAAGGTAATTTTTGACAAATTAGCACTTAAATATTGTTTATCATTTGCTTGTTGTTTGAGTGTTCTGCTTTTCATGCTTTTTCTCTTGTACCTTATGTGTTACTCCAACATTTTAAAAAATTCTGTCTTGGTTTATTTGTATTTTTGAGGTCATACCTTTGGATAGTCTTTTAGTCATTACTCTGGATAAGTTGTAAGGGGAGAGGGAGAAGTATTTGACTTCTGAAAGACTCCTGAGGAAGTCCCTTTGCAAGTGACCTTAGCTTTGTCTGATACTGTCAAAGGCACTCCTGTCTGACTTGGGGGAGCAATGAGCCCATTGGGACTGTCCTGTGCTGCTACGCTGAGTATCAGGAAGTGCAAGGTTTTGGTGGCCGCCTTTCGTTGAGAAATAAACTCAATTGCTACTATATCGTTTCTCCATTCCTGGAATTCCAAATCATTTTTTTCTTTCTCTTCATATTTCAGAGTTCTCCTTTCGGTGTTCCCTGCTATTATTTTCAAGATTTACCATGGTGCTTTGTGGAGAGGAGAAAGGAAAATGTGTGTGTCTGGACCAGAAATCCTTCCAGATACATTTAAAATTTTTCCATTAAGTAACCCATAGTGACATTGGAATCATGATAGGTCATATAACTTGCTTTATTAATTTCAGCCTACATATGCAAGTTAGAAAACAGCAACCTTAGGGCCAGGGATTTAGCTCAGTGGTTCCACTACCTGCCTCACAAGCGCGATCCTTGGTACCAAAAACAAAGAAAAACAAAAAGAAAAAGAAAACAAAACAGCAACCTTAGGTAGCTCCTATTACAGCAAAGAACCTGATTATTATCCTCATTCTTACTCCCGCCCTACTAACAGTATTACACTTCCCTGGCATTCCACACGCCTTCCCTTTGCAAGCAGCATGTATTTCCTGTTCTTTTACTGTGGCTCAGCCATGTTCTTGCTTTGTCCTGTGAAGACGAACAGACTCGTGTAACGGTGCTTGCCCGCTTGTGTCTCTGCCATCACCACCGTGAGGCTTCCCAGGGTAGGAGTTGCCTCTCGAGCCTGAGCTCTGAAATGAATCCAGAACTGAACCGAGCCATCACAGAGGAGCTGAGCCTGGCAGGTCCTACTTGAGGCCAAGCCACAGGAAGACGTCTGACCAAGATGAGCTGATTTTCAGACAGGAATAAGCTCCTGAGCTAAACGGATGCTTACTGATGTACCACTGAGAGTTGATGACTGTTTGGCCTACATAAGTTTTGTTTGACTAAGTCGACAAGTTCAGCTCCTCTGAACAATGTACCTTGATGACCTTCTCCTATTTTTTTCTTCATGCTCTTACTAGCAACTGCAAGCATCATTTTGAGGATGACAACAGCCATGGCACAGAGTAAAAGCACAGAAAGTTGGAAGGAAGCCGGGTCCTGGATAACAGCAAGGCCGCACGGTAAGCCCTGATCTGCCTGTATCCAGGCCACATTAAGTAAAGCCATTATTATTTCGGGTTCTGTGCTGCTTGCTGTCACTTCTCTTTCCCTGCTTTTGCTCCCTCTCCTCTGCCAGTAGTCTCGTCAAACACACTGCATCTGTGCCAGATCCGTTCTTGGTCTGGATCTCTGTGCCCCCGTAATCACATGATTCTTTCTTTCTTTCCATTTGTTTTTGTTTGTTTGTTTGTCTGTTTTTGGCTTTCAGTATTGGGCATCAAATTCAGGGTCCTGCATGTTATAGGCAAGCATTCTACCACAGAGCTATATGCCCAGCCCTTCTGATTTTCATCTTTTCATTTGTACCGTTACAGACAGTATCCTTATTTTTTTTCTTTTTTGTTGTTGCTTTTGAGACAGGGTCGCACTATGTACTTGAGACTGACCTCGAACTCACTATGTAGCTCAGGCTGGTCTCGAACTCACAGCGATCATCCTCCTGCCTCAGCCTCCCGCGTGCTGGGATTACAGGTGTGCACCACCACGCCCGACTTCAGTTCCCTTCTTGAAGACGCTTCCCCTAACATCTTATCCAAAATAGCATATTGTACCCTGTCACTATCATCTGACCTGGCTTTTTGTTTTCTTGGTGTCAGTCATACCCCATTTGTCCATTTATTATCCATCTTTTCCATGGACAGAAAGCCATATGACCCTGTAAGGGAGGAAAAGTAGAATCTTTTCTTTGTCTTTCACAAGGGTTATGGCCCATGAAAAGATTATTACAACAAAAGTGTAACAAATATATTCACCCAAAGTTTTATGTGACACAGGGAACTTCAGATGTGAAGACCTAAAGACCCAGAACCAACTTGCATTTTATGCTTCTCTTCCATGAAGAGTGGATGTTGTATAGCAGAATGACTGCACAGAAAGGAGCTCTGGCACACTGGTAATAAAGTGACGAGAACTTGGTGAGTCCCGTTTACTCAGATTCTTATGTCTGCATTCCTTTCCTCTAGGTATAGCGATACCTATCACTTGAGGGGCTAATGGCTGACCTTCCGAGGAAGGTCAGACAATTCCTTCATGGTTAGCTCTCGCAAGAAATGTAGGAGAAGATCAGGGAATGAATTTTCTAATTTTGCTATTTTTCCTCAATCTCCAAGTACCATATTTTGGAGTAGCATGTTCTAGGTCCCAACAATAGCAAAAATTTCATCTCAATTTTTGTTTATGTGTGTTTTATTATGTCTATATTCTGGTGCCTGGCACATAGATGATCTAACTAAATATGTATTGAGTGAAGGAATCTTTCAGTTTTGAGCAGCACCAAGCCTGGAATGCGGTGACTGGAAAAAGATCACATTTACAAGTTATGGAATCAAAGACCATTGCAGGTTGAATTGTAACTTCCAAAATTTGCCTTGAGAAGACAGTGGGATGGGGAGGGGCACTTGTCACCAAGTAAAAGCATATCTCATCCTGAAAATACAATTCATTTGAATTTAACATGGTCTTTACTAAGAAAAAAATCCTTCAATAGTGTTTCAAAATATAATCAAGTATAATTTTTCCATATTTATTTATTGTTTAATAATTTACCTCCTTACTTGTCTGATGATATGCTAAAATTTAAAGCATATAAAAATGGGTTCACTGCTCTGAACCCTGAGTGTTTAATTCAAATATAAATTGACATATGGCAAATACATAGGATGAAGAGAGACACATGGGGATCAATGGAGGCTCACTGCTTCTCTGAACTTTGTGAGGTGTGTGTGATATCGTACCATGGATTTCATCACCTATGAAAAGTAAAATTGTGTGTTCATTGGGTTTATGTGACCTTTTCCTCCAACAGTTTCAGGGCACTAAAGTTTTAGCACATCCACTCCTTTGGTAATTTGAACATGCAGAGAGGATGAGAAGGTCAAACAATTACAAGAAGACTGCTAGCCCATGTCAGTGGGGTACATCAGGTGCCGGGAGAATTCCTAGTTCAGATATTAACAAACGGACATTACACTTCAGTACAGCGAGGGGAAGCACGAGACCTGCCATGGCACATGCTAAGTGACCCTGGGGAGCTGGGCAACGCAGCTGGCCTTCTCTGAAAGTACGGAAGAAAAAGCAGGAAAAGGCGGTGTTTTCCAAACTAAACATTAAGATTTTTATCAGTATAGGTGCTTCATATAGAATCCTTACCGGCATTCAAACATTTATTTTTTCTTGTGTGAATGAAGCTGTTTGTAAGGGTAGAAAACTCTCTATTCCATTCTACTAATTATTATTGTCTTTTAGTAAACAAAACTTTTATGATTTTTATGAATTTTTTCTTTGAGCTTTTACAACAGCCAGTCATACAGCGTACAGTACCAGAAGAGGTTTCATGCTAGCAGAGAGAGCCACGGGAGTGTTACATGAGCGAGGGGATTAACGCAGGGCTGGGCTGCACACACGGAGGGAGCTGACGGAGGGAGGGCGCTGCGGCTTCAGGTGACGATCAGATGAGCAGCCTCTGTCCCTGCAGTCTGCCAGGCCGAGGGGCGCTGCTCTTGCCACCATGCGACCCTGAGAGTATAGCTTAGCTTTTCAGAGCTCAGGCAGGTCCTCCACGAGTGAGGAACGTCGCAGCCCATGTGGAAAGGGCTCTGGGAAGCAGGGTTCCCACTCTGGAGGGGAGAGGGTACTTTGGAGCCGACCAGAGACTGTTGACCACAGGCAGCCACACAGTGGAAAGGGAGCTCTGCCTATTGGACACGGAGGCAGGTCAAGACTACACCGCAGTCTTAGCTCTCCCCGTCAGAGCGGTTATTATAGAAAGACAAACAAGCAGAAGTAACAAATGCTGGTGAGGACACGAAGAGGGAATGCTGACACGCCGTTGATTGGAATGTTATTCGTTCAGCCACTATGAAAAGCAGTGTGGCGTTTCCCCACAAAAGCCTGAAAATAGAACTGCCGTCTGATCTAGCTGTCCCACTCCTCGAAAATGAAGCCAGCGTCCCAGAGGAACATCTACATGTCCGTGCTTGTTGTGCTCTACTCATAGGAGCCAAGGCACGGACTCAGGCCGAGTGCCTGCCAACAGACGGACACATGAAGGAAGGACGGCCTCCGTGCACAGTGGAGTATTATTCAGCTGTGAAGAAGAATGAGATCCTGTCATTTGCAGGGAAAGGGGTGGGCCCAGAAGGTATGTTCAGTGGAATATGTCAAGCGTAGAAAGGTAAATATTGCATGTTTTCTCTTATTTGTGGAGATTAAAATAAGATGACCTGAAAGTAGAGGAGGAAAGTTAGAGAGTAGGGAGGACACTGGGGAAGAAGAAGAGCAAAGGAGAGTAGAAGGGAGGTTGGCCACGATTACTGCCTAACAGGCATTTCTGGAAGCGTCCCAGGGAGTCCCATTAATTTCTGAAATTATTCTGTGTTGAAAAAATAAAAGGAAATGCATCCACTTAAATTAACTGATAACTGCAAGTGAACATCACAAATTCAGCTCAGAACTTCACCGAGGTAAGAATAAAATATTAGCTAATATATTTTTAATTTTCCTGAAATAATTCCCATCAGATTTGGACATGCATATGCAACCGAGAAAAACACGGCTGGACTCACCCATACACCCAGCCTTAATGCTTTAGCAATGGAAGACAGAGGATGGATTTTTTTACTGATTTGTTTTGCCTTCATGAACAAATTAGTTAAAATCGCTTCGTCTGGTTCTACAATGTAATTCAGGTCTGACGCATGAAAAGTTCTGTGAATTGTTATTTGAACTACAAATGAAAACTGTACTGTAATACAAGTCGGTAAAAATGAACAAATGAGCCTTAAAATATTTATCTACAAATTACCTAACTAGAGAAAGCACAAGATGATTGTCAAAGTGAAGTTAACAAAAGAAGAGAAACAGCACTAACGAAAGATTAAAGTTTCTTGGTGTCTGAGTTCTAAACCTTCAGGATTTACAGAGGAGAGTGAAAGGGCCCCTTCTGGTCTACAGTTTGGGGGAGTGGATACGAGGGGTGTGAACCACGGCTGTTGTCTGGCTGGAGAAGCAGCTGAGAGGCACCAATAAAGCAGCGCCACGAAGAGGGCCAGGAGAGCAGCCTGCACCAGGCTTAACGCACGCAGAATGAGGCTCCCTGGTTCTGGTGAGAGAGACGCGAAAGTCCGGCTCATTGCTCAGCACAGTTCCCCTCTCACTTACTCTTGACGCCTCAGTGTGGACAGCTCTCCTTTTACTTAATAACTTAGCTTTTAAGAGAAACTTACTCTTTGAAAAAAAGCCAATCAGCCTCTTCCTGCCTTGTTTCCATTTAGGATGCTCTTTCTCCTGGAAGTTGTGGAGCTCTGCTCTCACCAGGTGGCGGTTCTCGACTCTGCAGGTAAGAGAAAAGAAAAGGAAACGTCCTGTCACTCACCAGACCGCACCTCCCCACCACTGTTTGTGACACTGTCAGAGTAACTACCAGGATAAAATGTGCCCAAGACTTCCGCTTACTTCAACAAGACATTAAAAATTAACTGCTCAGTTTCTTTGAGTTGCTGTAAAAAATTGCAAATGTTGATTCATTTATAACCACAGCATTTCAAAGGTCTTATCTTTCTGTTTTGAAATTCCTGTCACTATTGAGAAAAGCGACTGTAACTGGCCGTGTCATCCTTATCATATTGGACTGCAGAATCAACCTCTTAGATGAAGGAAGAATTGGTAGCCATCTGTTTACAGTGAGACAAACGCCTCCTCCATTTGGGTGCGTTTTTTACTAGACTTTGCTGTGTTGTCTTAGTTCCTGCCTTGTCTCCAGTCTCCCATGACAGAGAGAACCATTTGTCTTCCAGAGATTTAGTAAGAATTAAGGAAATAATAAGGGAAGGTAGCTAGTGCTACTGTAGCTGCCGTTTGCCTAAAGGCCAGTTGCCTCCCTTCCTTACATGCAATTTCAGGGGTAATGACAGGGATGGCTGTGAACTATTGAGCTGTGATCCAGGTGTTGCACCAACCAGTCTCATTCCTAAAACCACTCTATGAAGAAAACGGGACTCAGACATTAGCTGCGTTAACTTGTTCAAGGTCCTACAGCTGATGTATGATGAATCAATTTCAGGGCATCGAAACCCTTTACCAGAAAGCTGTCCTGACTTTGGATCTTCACACCAAATATGGAATCACACAGGCCTTGGGCAGTCTTTTAATTATTTGTGGGCTGCCTTCTTATGGGAGAGAGATTGCTGTGACATTATCACATTTAGTTTTTGAAAAACAGTACGACATTGCCAAGAAGTAAAGCTTAAGATCAACTCTGAGAAACAGCCCAGGCTGGTACACAACAGAAAGTAGGCCTGCCTTTTTCCTGAGGAACAGGGCTACTCAGGCTTCATCTAGCCTTTTGTTGACACACATGAGATTAACAAATCATAGAAGTATTTAAAGAAAATGCTCAGAGAGCGGAGCACATGGTGCACACCCACAATCCCAGGTCTGAGGGAGGCTGAGGCAAGAGGATCACAAGTTTGAGTCCTGCGTGAGCAACTTCATGAGACAAGAGAACTTGGGATGTAGGTTAGCAGTGGGTCTCCTGGGTTTAATCCCTAGTACCAGTAAAACCAACCACACCAAACAAAGCCCTCTTATCTCAAGATGTGCACAAACTCATAACCAACTGCCCATGTCCTCCTTGATTTTCCATTAATCTGCAAGATGCCTGCTGACAAAATCCTCTCAATTTCTGTTCACTCCTCTAAGTACCATTAAGTGCTGGTCCCACCTTTCAGAGTCCAGCCACTTCTAAAGAGCAGTTTATTTTAAATTAATGTCCATTCTTTTGGAAACTCAATTTCCAAAATCATCAATCTAAAGGGCACCTCGTGTGCCTCTGGATGTGTGGATGAGTTGGAAACCTTCAGAATGCTGATACCTAGAACTGGTTGGTTGGTTCCCAACTTCATCACCCCAAGCGCAACTTTGTGACCAGTCTAGAAACTTCAGGATTTGCACACTGTGTCATCCCAAACACTTTACATCCATAAAATTGGTCCTAGAACTTGAAGAGAGGATTTATATTTCTTTAAGGTGCCTTATTAAGTGAAAAACAGTTTGGGTGGAATTCTACCTTGACTTTTCAGAACAAAAATGACTGTGAAGATGATTACTTTATGGATTGCTCACACTGTTTATTCTGTTTGACAATGGCATGCGCTGTGTGAGCTGCTGCCTCACACAATCCTTTTTTGGCATTTGCTTACACTATCCCTTACACTTCCAGAACTCTTTTACTTACATCTCAGGAGTTGGAATATCTGGTGTCTTTTTCACCTCTCAAGAGGGACGCCATAAGGAAGCTTGGGTCCACAGCAGTTAGAGGCATCGATTAGCACTTGCATTAAGGAGCACTTATCAATGGAATAGATTCCTCCATTAACAGGGCAGACCCCCATGGCTCTGTGGAAACTTCTTTAGTCAAAGAACATTAAAAGCAGTTTTCACTCAAAAGTCCCCTGCTCTTTCTCTTGAAAAGAAAGATCGCTTTCCTCTGACTTCAAGTGAAATGTTTCTTAGAACTAGAAAGTTGTAAGAAGTAGGTATCTGTAAGTGGACTTTCCATGTGTGTTCGTAGCAGTTAATAGTAACCTGATGTTGTGTCGTGAGCAGTTGTGTGTGTGAGAGAGGAAGAGAGAGAGATGTGTGTACTCCTGTGTGTGTGAAGGTGACTGTGCTGGCTCCTTCGGCCAAATTCCAGAGACACAGAGTTACACAGGTATCATCGTCTTTACCGACAGGGCCAGTCAGTTCCTGGGGAGTCTTCCCAAGTTGGAATGACACTCTGCCAAGCCAGTATCTTCTTCCTTCACCATGTTTTCTCACCGTGATGCTAACTTACACACGGACCTTTTCCTGGGCAGAATTCCACAAAGACCACTTACAATTGCAAGGGTCACTTTGGGGAGTTTTGACCTGAAAAGCAAAGGACAAAGAGATCTTCATGGGAAAATTGTCTTGTTTATCTAAAGGGAGGCTCATTTTATTTAACATAGAAATTATGCCCGTTGATTTTCTATACAAGGTTTAATAATTGGTGGCTTTTAAATTTCATTACTTGATAAATTATCTAGAGCTCAATCCTATCAAAGCCAATTATATGTAACTTTTTGTTCGGTTTTCCCTTTGCCTCTCTGACAAACATTAAAGAGTAACTGATTTTTAACAATTCTTTCATTTTTCATGTACTGTAGGAGTTTTGGGAACAGAAAAATGGTAACAAAAAAAGTTATTATTAAAATCTGTTTGGGCCGGGGATTTAGCTCAGAGGTTCTGCTACCTGCCTTTCAAGCCCCCAAGGACCTGAGTTCGATCCCCAGTACCAAAAAAAAACCCCAAAACAAAAAACTATTTTTTATGCATACTAGAAAATATTTTTGTAGAATGACCTGTGTTTTTGTAGCTTTGAGATAATAAGAAAATGTTTTAATTTCAAACTAAAATAAGACGTTTGGTATAATTTAAATTCTTTAAATATTATTTTACACTATAGAAAAACTGGGCTCGGGATTTAGCTCAGTGGTTCTGGTGCCTGCCTCACAAGAGCAAGGGCCCGAGTTCTATCCCCAGTACCAAAAAGAAAAAAAAAAAAAAAAAAAAAAAAAGAAAAACTATTAGAAACTATTTTGGTTTGTTCCAATTAGGGTTAAATTTTTTTATAATTCAAAATATCCTACAAGTTTTTATGAGTTAAATGAACTACCATAGCATGTTTAAAATTAAAAATTATTTATATATATGAATTATATTCAGCTAAATAGAATGATAATAAATATCCTTTAAAATTTTTTATTTTAAGAAAATTTATAATGTTCTAGATAAAAGATATAATGCTAGCCACATTGTAAATTCCATATCGTTTGTTATATTTAAGATCACACAGAAATGATTAAGCTGATTAGAAATGATCTTTGAATATCTAAACAGTTTATAAATAAATTTTTTAAAAGACACACAAGAAACTAGTTACTAAATAAAATTAACCTTATGGCTGGGAATTTAGCTCAGTGGTTCTGCTGCTGTCTCACAAGCCAAAGGACCCAAGTTTGATCCCTGGTACCAAAAAAAAAAAAAAAATTAACACATTTCTTAAAACAACAGATTAAATGTAAAAATGTTTTTGGATATACCTACAGAGAAGAGGATATATGTATAACCCTCTAGAGCTGGTTGTAATGGTAGGAAATACATTTTCCAATTAAAAACAATAGCTAATTAACCTTGTCTGAAATATTCCAAACTTTAATTATTATGAGTCTTTGTCTACCAGCTTAGTAATTTACAATTGACAAATCATAAAATATTCATCCTCTTCAGATAAATAATATACATATTCTAATAAAAGTCTTTCATTGATTACCTTTGAGTTAAAAGGATTATCTTATGTTTAACCACAAAGATTAAAACAGTAACTACATAGCAAACTCTTTTCCCAAATCATATGTACAAATATTTTTTCCCTTTTATTCATAAAGGATGTGAACATATTCTAGGAAAACTAACTGAAAAGAGTCGCTAGAAATCCTTTGGGCCTTTCATTAGCTCCAATGGCCAAGCCACATGACAGTTTTTAAGAGCTGGCAATGTAAAACACAAAAAATTCAATTAAGTCAATTTCAGAGTCTCTGCTGAACTTAATGATTCCCATGCTTTTTGCACACTCTTCTTACAAAAGTATTTATAATTTTTCATCTGGCCATGGGAATGCTCTGAAATGCTGCTGTCTTTGCCCACTGTGGTCTGTTACTCTGACAGTCCAAGTCTAGCCCACACCTTTCTTTACCTGAAGGAAAAATCCCACTGTTGCTAACCCCCTTTAGGGAACTATCAGTACTCTGAACAATTTTCGTAGAGATTCCCCTTGGATAATCCTTATTTAATTATGTCTTTCAGTTGTTTATACTTTAAAAACTAAAAATTCCAAGCAGGCTATCCTATAAAAAAACCTTAAATTTATGCTTAAAATGTAGGCTCTTATTGAACTTTAGTTGAGAAAGTTGTTTTTCATGGGAATCCTGTTACCATTTCTTATACTCTTATGCAAGTACGTGGAGCTACCCAGTTACATACATAAGTGGCACTTCGTGGGAACCAGGATTTCCACTGTTGGAGTGGGAGTTTACAAAGTGCAGGGAGAGGAGGTTAGAATAATCTGTGGTGATGAATATCAGTGTGAATGCTGGTGAGAGAGTCCAACAGCAACATCCTCCTGAGCAATGCAGCCCTTGGACTGTGCTTTCCATTAAAATGAGCGGGGGGTCCTGAGAAAATGACCGATTCTAAAACTGAGGCAAGAGGTATACAAGGTGGCCCTGGAGTGTGGTGTAGTGGCAGAAAGTGAGGAAATGCTAAAGAGACAAAAACAAGAAACTTTACATCCATGGAGGAAGGTCAAAGGGACACAAAACCAATAAAAAAAATTCCTGGTATAATGTGATCAAAAATTACATAAAATTACACTGGATTATTAGCCAAAGTATAAAACAATATTCACGAGTCCATACAGACACAAAAAACGATTGAAATAAAAAAGAATGAATGAGAGAGACAGAGACAAAGGAGAAAGAAAGTGAGAAACTTCCATGTACAATTCCAGATAATTTATGTAGGTACTCTGCCCTCAAGAAAGAAGTGATGGTATAAATTTCCACTCTCTGTGTGTTCTGTGTGTAGTGACTTCTTTTTAAAGATTATAGTATGGAAATGGTGACCAGTGTAGAGAAACCTAACAGATACTCCCTCAGGTACATGACAAGGTCAGTGTCAACAGTAATAAATCGTGTTGATGATACATCTTGATATATGATAAAAGTGAGGCTTTACCTCTGTAGCTCCCTCAACCCCAAGCCTAAAACCCTAGTTTAATCATGAGGAAAGTGTTAAATTCCAGTGAAGAAGTGTTTTACAAAACACTTGACTTGTACCCGTCAAAAATAGTCATGGTGATCAGAAACAAGTCTGAGAAACTGTCACTCCCAAAGACAGCCTGATATGATGTAGTAATTAAGTGTAATCTGGACGAGATTTGGGGACACAAAAGGGGCAGTAGTGGCTGGGGGTGTACTGTGTGCATGTGAGGTCTTCAATAATGAGTGCTGAGAGAGAGAGAGAGAGAGAGTCACAGAGACAGAGACACCGAAAGAAAGAAAGGATACAAGGAAGAAAGGATGGAAGGAAGAGAGAAAAAGGAAGAGAAGGGAGGGAGGGAGGGAAGGAGGGACAGGGAGGAGAGGAGAGGGAGGAGGGAAGAAATGGAAAGAAAGGGAGGGGAGGAAAGGGACGTGCAGTGGACACAGGGAATCTGAATACAGTGCGGACTCCAGGTAACAACACTCTCAGTATTGGTCCGTTAATTGTAACAAGCCCCGCACTTCCCAGCCAGAGCAAAGGCCTTAAACCCTGGATGCTGGAATACAGCCGTGGACAGCCTCTCACTGAGATCCGCCACAGTTCCCAATGTAGCAGGTTCTCCCTGCAACATAAAAAACCGCAAGTTTCCATTCCGAGTATATTCCTGGGGGTCTTTAGCTGGAGGAAACTGGCAGTCAGATTCAATCAGTGTGCGGTAGTGGAAAGCTTTAGAGTCACAGTTTCTGAGATTTTTTTTTTTTTTTACTTTTTTACACTGTTTGTTCTTTAAGTTTTCATTCCCTCCAAAAATCTTGCTTTTTTTTTTTTTTTTTAAAATATGGCATAGATTCTCCAACAAGACTTAGTATTTCTCTAATTGACCTGAAGATGGCAGGCTTGAACAAAAGATGTTTCCATTTTAAAATCTGGGGCTTCTCAAAAGTTCTTTTTTTCTTTTTAAAATTTCATTTTGTTAGTACAAGTTTGCAGTACATACATTTTACAGTCGTCCTGGGGAGTCAGCTCATGTACATAACGCAGCTTGTTTCTTTTCTTTAATTCCCTCCCTTCCCTCTCCTCCCTGTCCCCTGGTCCCCTCCACTTTTTCATGCTTGTTGGCATTGTTAATCTCAGTTTGTGTTTATGGCATATAAAGTCCATATTCATTGAGGTTATTAGGACCTTGTGAGTGGGCAAATGCCAAAGGTTCTCTTTGATGCTGGTGTTACGAATGATCTTTTCTTACTTCCTACAGGCTTAAAAAAAAAAAGTATCTATGTTTGTCTTACATATTTTTTTGTCATTGTTTCCCAAAGGGCCAGGGCATTTTTCTCACTTTTTCTGGGTACTGAATTCGGTCATTAGAATCTGGAGGCATCTGAAGTGGAAGCAACGCATTTAGGCGAGCATGTGAGGGGACCAGAAGGGACCAGTGACATGAGCTCTGCAGGTCCTCTGGGAGTGCTGCCTTGTTGCTCAGAACTCCTCCGCTTTGGTGCTCAGCGCTCCTGGCCTCCTGGATTGGATATTTATCTTTGAGAATAGTGAGTCTGAAAACCAAGGTGATGACAGCACCGACAACAAAAGTCTAGAACAAAGTGAATCTGGTGACGAGGACCAGGTAGCGCAAGGCACTGCCTTCACTAGGAATCCGTTAGAGTTTCAAAATTAATACTATGTACGACAGAGGAAGCACTTCTAATTACTAGTGAATGCCACACTGCTCACTTTCTATAATGCAAGTTTAGTTGTCCTCTCAGACTCAGTGACTTTTCCTACTTACTAGATTTTCTGCTTCAGGGGTTGACAAAAACAACAACCAACCCATTAGTTGGTCAGTAGTTATCATCTTTGGTAAGCAATGTGGTAGGAACAAAGGGTGGATCCCTTTCAGTAATTCAGTAATTCACCCATTTCACGTAAAATAGCTGTAGAATTAAGTGACACCTGGGTGTTTTGTTATACTCCTGTGTGGCCCACCTCATTTTCTGCAGAAGTTTCTGTCCTGGGGATCCAGGGCAGATTAGGAATGGTCATTCATTCAGCAAACCCATGTCCTCCTTTACTCTACCAGCACACAAGGCTGTAAAGCAACTAAACAAGAAATCTGTGTCTCTGTGTGTATGTGCCTGTGACTGTGCAATCAGTGGAAGCGGAAGTGTTACATCTGCTCTCAATTAAATTAAATCGGTCCTTAGCCCCTGTCCTGCAGCTGGGGAGGATTTGGGTCACTTATTATCGGTGTTTCTCATAATTCCACCCACGGTAGCCCAAACTGTCTGAAGACCGATGGAGACTAATAAAGAAAGGACCCCTGGGAAACTCCTGCTGGTCTTTTCATAGCGACTCCTGAGTGGAATCACTGCTGACCATTAGATTTGTCTAAACTTAGCATGGGAACTCATATGCTTTTTTAGCCAGCATAGTTTCATCATCTTTTTCGGAGTTGAACTTGGCATTCACTGTGTGTTGCGCCGCTCTCATCACCCCCCTGACCCATCCTCCTGAGCAGTGATGCTTCCTGTTACTGAGCTGTGCTGAATGCCTTTCACTTCTGACCTGACTTGACCCTCATTTTAGTCCTGAGCTCCCATTTCACACCCCAAGCACAGAGTAGCTAAGCAGCACGCCCATAACAGACAGCTGGTAACAGGGTATCACATCAATTGTGAATTCCAGTTCTCTGGCTCTGTCAATTAGCTACATCGCTGTTTTTTTTTTTTAATTAAGAAAAGGGTGTAAATAATATACTGTATACTTATTAAAAACTACACTAAAAAACATTGTTTTGTTTAGTTTGGGAGAACTTCAGGCACTGTGATGTCACCAAACCCGAGTGGAGTCCTGTGCGCTGATACTTCTCAGCAACCCTGGTACAGCAGATATATTCACTCCCTCAAAAGATTTAAGGTTAAAATCATTATAGATGTTTGATAGTCATTTAGAACTAATGCTGTAATTAATTGTTGTCATTGCTATTATTGCCTCAATTTGTTGATTCTGAATAATAAATGTTCAAACCAGAAAGACAGCGAGCATTGAGCACTGAACAAAACAAGCCATTTTCATCAAAATTAAGAAGTCAGGAAAGCATCTCTCCAAATAAAATATGTCAGTAACAGCAGTGAACACTGGAGGGCAGTAATACACAACTTACTCTATGATTTATTTTCTTTAAAGCAATTATATTAACTAAATAATGGTCTTTAAAGTCTCCATTTTGGAAAGGAAAGATGTGTACTCCAAATGTCCCTGTGAACGCTTAGTTGATCAAGATCTGATTCAATTTGTGGATTGCGTAGTTGTCAATGGATGGGACTTCACAACCAAATTATTTTGCTCTTGTCACTTCTTAGACTCAAACTCAGGACAATTATTAATTTTGAATTTCTTCTGGATTTTAAATTTGAATTTCTAGTACATGTTTCAGGGAGGGAAGACTGTCCCACAAACATCCAGATCTCAGGCTGTTCTTACAGACCCCGCCAGTTTGGTCAGGTCCCAGGGCAGACAGGAGCTGGAGCGCAGGGGGAGGGAGGAGAGGCTGGCCTGATGCTGGCGCTGTGTGATGAAGACAGGTTCCGGCTGTCAGGCCCCAGCTCCCGAGGCTGTGTGGTTGCGAGGCCTTCTCTTCGGGGGCCTGCGGCTGTGCTGGTTTTAGACTCACTGCTGCCGCTCTGCTCCATGCGCATCCTGCTGTGCACCTTGCCGGCAGCTCTTCTTACCTAGGGAACTAGTGTTTCTCTGAACTTGTGGGTCCAGGATAACCAACAACAAACTGAGGGGGGGCTTCATAGTTCGGGGATGGCGGGGAGAGAGAGAGAGAGAGAGAGGAGAACCTGTCTCTGAGGTGTGATCTGTCCCCTGGCGTTTAGTTCACGACCCCAGGCTGCGTGTACTTCTGTTTCTGCAGCTCGTCTTTCCTTATATCCCCCGTAAGAGGAATAAGCCTGCTGTACAGGGTCATCAAGTGTGTTTCCTTCTCTGCTTCTTCAAAGACACATTTAAGCCCCTCGATTGAATTGTTGCTCGTCGTGTTCAAGGAAAACAGTGGCGTCTCCTGTCCATAGACAGGGAAGGTGCTATGTGTACCTTGCTCTTTGGAGCCCCGGGTCCTAGGGGAAAGGACTGGATAGTTTCTGTGCTTTTTACTGCAAGTGTTTGCAGGCAAGGCTCTCTGCTAACCCAGTAAATACTCACTGACACGGATGCTCACGCGTGTACAGAGCAGAACATGTTTTCCAGGTGGCTTCTAAGATTTGTATTTTCTGTTTTCGTCACTGCTTGGAACAGATCCTTTTATCCCACCGTGTTAGAGCTCTGTGAAAATATAAATATTTTCGTTGTGACAACATGCTGTAATAAGGAATTTGGTCACTGCATTTCCCCCTTCTAGCATAGTCTTTGCTCTACTTTGATATTTCTTGTGTCATTCATCATGCATTTTATGTCCTCATTTTTCACTCTGGAGATTGTTGAGGATTTGGTGATGTTTCCTGTGAATATGTTTACTCCTCAGCAGAGTCCTGTCTCTGATACTCCCTGTGGCGGAGGAAAAGCGGCAGGCATTGTATATTATCTGGCAGGGTCCTCCCAAACCATTTATCTGAAGCTGATTTTAACGCCCTCTGCTTCACAGACCGTCTTTTTCTTCTTAGGTAAGGTCTTACTAAAAGGAAACACCTGTTTGAATATGTATAAATTAGAGTAAATATAAACAGAAGGACTTCTTAACACATGGGATTTTCCTTATCTATTTTCTAATGATTCCTGGCACAGATAGACTGGGGATATGACCTAGGACTCTAAGTTTGACCCATTAGCTATTTTTCTTCTTCTTTTTCTTTTTTTTACATGGTGAGTTGAAAGCCATTTCCCGCCAGGCCACTGTGGACATTGCTGAGCCATGACCACGACAGTAGTAAGTGTGGGATCTTTTTTTTTTGTAATGATATGAGTCTAATTTTTCCCATTTTACTTATATTTTGCCTATGTAAGTGTCAAGATAATATTTTCCCTATTTAGTGTGGTGCCCTCCGTGATAACAGCTCAGTTTAGAATCACTGTTATAAAACTGAATTAAAATGGTTCAAGAATACTTATGTCTTCAGTTGTCTGAAATAATCTAACAAATATTCTGAAAAGGATCTAATAGACCATTACACTTATGAATGTATATAAAAATCTAAAACTAAGTACTGGAAAATTTAATCTTTGATTTATAAAATATAGAAAAATATGAGCAAGATGTAGTTTTTTCAGGAATGTAAGATTATTTAAATATTTGAAAATCAATGAAAATATGATTATTTCCATAACTGCAGCAAAAATACTGGATGAAATCAAAGCAACTTTATAATAAAGTCCTAGAAAACTAGTATTAGGTGGGAATTTTAAAAATAGAAGATAAGCTGACACAACATGTAATGAGACAGCACTGAAAGTGTGACCAGGAAAAAGAAACAGATACTTACTGTTACCACCGTTCTGCAGCATTTCACTGAAGGTCCTGGTCAGTGCCGTAGGTCAAGGGAAAGAAATCATTCCCTGGAAATGGAAAAGTGATCACCATCCACACACCACATGTTCGCAAACTGTGTGTTCACATGCATAGAAAATCCCAAGGACAAGATGATTTCACGGACAGCCAGTATAAACAAACCAGTTATATTTTTATACAGTAACTCAAACAAGTAATGACAGTTTGAACACACAGTGGAATATAGCTATGAAAAGATAAGCCTGAATGAAGCATGGGGAGATAAAAATACAGAGGAAAAGGTAAAATACACAGGAAGTACAGCAAAAAGGTCTAAAACATGAGTAATTGCAGTCTAGGAATGTAGCAGAGGTAATGAATGCAGAGCTAATGGCTAAGAACAGTACCTATACTTGTGAAAAAACATCAAGGCACATATTAAGAAGTTTTACAAAGTTTAACTGCCAATCTAAAATTCTGTTTCCATCCTCAGAAAATGCAGTTGAAATGAAGACATTTTCAGAGGTCTGAAACAGAGGACAATAGAGTATTCAAATGACCAATAAAAATATGAAAAAATGCTCACAAGTGCATCAATGAACCAATATACAAATTAAAATCAATTTCAGATATCTTTGCATACTTACAAAGCTAGTTTCAGTGACAGTGTGGACAAAAAGCACTGTCAAACACTGCTGGTGAAAGCGTAAATCGGTACAAGCAGTTTGTAACATTATTTGCCAATACATACCAAAGTGGAGGATATATTATATTGTGGCTTTGCAGGTCTACTCCTGGGTGAACACCTGGCAGGTGTGCCTGCAGTGTGTCGCCATTGTTGCAAACAAGAGTGTCTGCAGCATCATTCAAACAGTCCACAGGTGAAAGCAGCCCAGATAACCGTCAATAAGAGAGTAGGAAATGGCAGGACTCTAGAATATCGAAATAATGCAGTACTTGAAGTCTTTTCCTCTAAGAATTTATTCGTTCCAAAACTGCCTCTGTATACCAGTTAATTGGGAATCTATAATGTGGTCATATAAAAATTATAGCTATGCAGTAATTTTGCTAAAATACTACTTTAAGATTAAAATATAATTATAACTATATTCATACATTATCTCTGATGTTATCATTGTTTCAATTATATAGATTCTCAAGGGAGAGAATTTAGATACCATGAATAGAAACAGTATAGAATTCACCCTAAAGTTTACCATTCATAGATAACCACTGTGACATTTTAAAATATTTACGATCTTTTTATGACTATGCACACATATCTTATTATACTATTTGAATTTGAATATCAATAAATATTCTTCAGGAACATTAAATTTATAATAGCTATGTTATATTTCCTCATGAAGATACAATATAATTTATTTCAACATTCCTTAATGATGAACTTTTAGATTGTTTTCATTATTTTCCTGTTGTATAATGTTGTGACTGTCTTGATGTAGTAATAATTTTTGCCTAAATTGCTATTTTCATAACAATTATATTGAGACCTAATTGATATACTATACAATTCTCAAATTTAATACAGTGATTTTTTAGTGTAAAGCATTGTACACTTTTCCCCACCAGTTCATTTAGAACATTTGCATTATCCCAAAAGGAAATCCTACATCTTTTATCCATGAACCCCAAATTCCTCAGCCCTCTGCTAGCACTGGGCAACCAAACATCTATTTTCTCTACAGATTTGCTTATTTTGGACATTCTACTTGAATGGAATCATATGTAGTGTTTTCATTTATTGTATTTTCGAGGATGATCCGTGTTGTAATGTTTCAGTTACTTTTTTTGTTGCTGAAGCAAAATATTGATGCTTAAAATTAAAGGATGAAAGGTTTATTTCAGCTCTCAGTTTGTAGAAGTTTTAGTCCATAGTTGGCTGACTCCAAGGCAGGGTGGTAGGGTAGAAAGGCATTGCAAGGGAGAAACAGACCGTGGCAAAGCAGGCAGGAGGTAGCGAAGCAGCAAGCAGCAGCAGCAGCAGCAAGTTTGACTTCTCTCTTTCTCTCTCTTCCCATCCAAGCTGTAAGCATCTTGATTGGTGCCATCCACACTCAGGGTGTGGCTTCCATTACCCACACCTAGAGCTATGGTAAGCCAATTTAAAGATCACACATCCTTAGTTCCAGCATCACACACTTGAGATCCAGTCACCTCCAAAAAGCTCCACCTATGAGCACATGAGGCTTTGGGGGGACATCTAGATACAAGCCATAACATGTAGTATGTATTAGCACTTAATTTTTGTTGCAAAACAATTTCGCTTATATGGCTCTACTATACATTATATGTCTGTTCATCAGTTGATGGACATTTAGATTGTTTCCAATTTTGCTGTTCTCAATAATGCTGGTATAAATACTCATACAATTTAGGTGTGGGCATATATTTTCATTTCTATTGGGTATATAACTAGTGGGGAAGTTAATGAGTTGATCACAAACATTTCCAGTTTTTCTTTTCATTTCCAGTTTTTTTCTGTAAACCCAAAGGACTTATTCAAAATTATATAGTAATTCTAAATTTTTAGTTCTCTGAATTTAAGTTCTGTATTTTCAGGCCCACCCAGAGTTGGCTGTTTTATACGACTAAGGCCAGAGAGAGCACAGAGCAATGTGCACTGCATGGATGCGTCACATGGCAGCTCTGTTTAAACGTTCAGGAATGGCCAGGTTGTTTTCCAGAGTTTTATATTTTATATTTCCACCAGCCTTGTGTAAATAAAGGTTTCACCTTCTGAGTGTCCTCACCAATACTTATTATGATCTATTTTTTAAAATTTAATAATCTTTTTGGTTATGAAGTTACATGTCTCTGTGATTTTGATTTGAATTTCCTTGATGACTCGTTGACTGAAATTCTATTTAATTAAGATACTTTTGGGGATATAAAATACTGAGTTAATAGTCCAATTTTTAGTTCCAATTTTTAGTTGATGTGTAATGCCAAATGGATTTTCAATAATCAAATGGATTTTATTCTAACTGGAACTATGCAGGAAGCATGAAACCTTTATTAAAATAGGTATTTAAATATTTGCCAATTTAGTGAACTTGATATAATTTCAGACCCATTTCGTGTGCCACAGCATTTCACACATGATAACTGCTTATATAACTTCAGGGAGGCGCCCATATTCTTTGTTCATTTTCCTATTGAGTGTAATATTTTGCTTTTTTTATTGAGTGGTATGAGCTTTTTACAGTAGTCCTATTTTCCACAAGCTATGTTAAATATACATTGGTTTTGGAAATTGTTCTTAAAAAAGCTTACATTCATCATGAATAATTCTGTTAGCTAAAGAATATTTTAGTAAATTGTCACTATAAAATATTTTGAAAAAAATTAAAATTTCCCACTCCTTGGTATAACTAACCATCTTGAAACTCTAGTAACCATCTTGAAACTGTTAAGAGACCAAAAAACGTTTAAAGCATGTTCAGTTATTTAAACAGTAACAAATACTAGGCAAACGGAGACTGGGCAAGTGTGTCCATCAGCTTCCTGTTGCTGGGACAGAGTTCCCGACACCTGCAGTTTAAAGGCGGGAGGTGCAGTTCGGCTCGTGGTCTCACAGGTCTCAATGACACTGCAGTCACTCCTCGGGGCTCTCTTCTGTCCATGCTGATGAGGCGATCCAGCACAGTTGCCCAGTGTCTCAGTTTTTACTTACATTTGAAAAAATTTCATGACAAAATCTAGGCCTGAGCCTTGTATCCCTTCCTGGTTTGCAAAATTCTTAAACTGAACTCTCTGAAGTGTGATGCGCATCTTCTGCTGATAGTGGATCGAATTACGGCTCCTATTTCCCCTGAATGTTTAATGTGTAAAGGTGAGGATTGTTAATGGGTTGCTTACAAACATTTTTAGCTTTTCATTGGGAAGATCTGTAAACCCAAAGATCTTATTCAAAACTGTAGAGTACTGTAATGCAGAATTTGTAGTCCTCTGCATTTAAGTTCTGTATTTTCAGGCTTCATTAGTCTCCTTTTCCTACCCAGAATTGGCCAGATAGGGCACGGAATAGTGTGCAATGGATGACAGATATTATGTACTTTGCTTTAAACTACGTGTTTAAATGGCTAGATATCGATTAAGGCAATAGGAGGTACCAGATATGGAATTGAGATAAAAGGTCCCAGAAGATTTCCCAAAGGTAATGCATGCAAATATCATTACTGTGAAGAGACATGCTGTGTGAAGTAACTTATCTCTCCTTTTTAATTTCTCTCAGCAGTGACATTAACTAAGGGAATCTTCCTAGTATCCTGGAGTTGTTCTCTTTGGGAAGGCGATTTAAGGCTAAGGAATGAGAGATACATATCATCTGATGAAGCTGTAGTAAGTTAAAAATATTATGAGTGGAAACCTCATTTAATACACCTAATCCATTAGACGTCATTGCTTAGCCCAGCCCATCTTAAACATGCTTGGAAGGCTTACACTAACCTTCAGGTGGACAAAATTAACACAAAGCCTATTTTGTAATAAAATGTGGACTATCTCACGTAAGTTATTTAATTATGTGCTTACAGCGCAGGACAGAATGGCTGCATGGGAACAGGAAGCAGAGGGGCATTTTGTAGATGCGGTGGGATGCAAAACATACAGCACAGCACTGGGAAGTACGCGCAGCCCAGCACACTGCATCACTCACCATGCTGGTCGTGTGACCAGTAGGGAGCTGTGGCCCAGCATTCAGAGCATCCTACCGCTTATCGCCAGACTAGGAAAAGAACACATTTCAAAATTTGAAGGTACATCAAAAAATTGTAAGTCGAGCCATTTTAAAGCAGGCAGTAGCTGTATTGGCAAACGGAGTCCTGAATTAGACTCGGCTGTGGGTTGCACCGTGTCTCCCAGAAGATATTACATGTGGAATTCCCAGTCTCACTGTTCTTCAGAAGGTGACCTTATCTGGAAATACAGGCATCCCGAATGCAGTTAGCGGAATTAGGACGGGGACCCGCTGGAATAGGGTGGGCCCTTACTTCAGGAGAACTGGTGTTCTGGTGAGGTGACTTTAGACACAGAGACAGGGAGGAAATAGAAGGCCGTGGAGACAGAGGCAGAGGTTGGAGTGATGCATCTGTAAGACGGGCGCGCTAGAGATTGCTGTTTATCATGACAGGGTTTCCCTCTGCACCACATAAAGAACCAGCTCCTCTGGCGCTGAGTTCAGACTTGTAGCCTCCACAGTCCTGTTGTCTTGAGCTGCCCGTTTGTGGCAACTGATTACAAACGCCGCAGCGAAGTCGAAGAGGTCCCTAAGCCATGTGAGGCTGAAAGAAGAGAGTCGCATCTGAGCCCACTCAGCGAGAGATTTAGTGATTTAGTGAGGTCCTGTCTCAAAAAAATGACAAAAGCCTGGGGATGTAGCTCAGTGTGAAGGCCTTGGGCTCAATCCCCAGAAAATGAAATGAAATGAATCAGGCCTCTAGCTTCTTGCCAAACTGCCTAACAACCTTATTTCAATTTCTTTTCTTGTGGAACAGAAATAACGCCAGGCCATCATGAGAGTCTCTGAAGATGAGATTGGGCATCTGAACCAAAATGAATGTCTGCATCTCCTGTCTCATAGAGCCTTTTCTCCAGGACCTCTCCCTGCTTTGGGTTCATGGCCTATATTTGCCCTATCACGTACTAGGTGCTTGGTGGTGCATTCACTGGTGGAGCAGTTTCACGCAGTGTCACTATGTGACTTTCTCACTGATTTGTAGGGCCCTTGATCATGTTTAGCAAGGCTTAGGAGGCTAAGGCTGTTCCTTAGAAACACACTGATTTCTCTTAAGTTTCGCTGAATGTCCCAAAGCTTCTCCATCTATTCATTCACTTATTCATTGACTCATCCCTTCCTCCCTCATTTATTCCACGCCCCGTAGAGTATCTGTGTATGTCAGACTCCTTTGTTTATGTTGGGCAAGCAGTGGTGAGTAAAACCCAGTAGTGTGGGCCCTACAGAGCTTGCAGAGTCCAGGAGAAGAGATCAGACAGATGTTTTTACAAAGCACTTTATTAATACATGCAAAATCAGAACTGTGAAAGCACATCAAAGGAGAGCAGTGCTTAGCTCTAATAGACTGTAATGGTGAGATGTGACCCTCTTAGGGAGGTCGGAAAGGCCTTTTGACAAAAGCTAATCTGAAGAACGTGCAGAGAGTCAGCCAGGTGGAAAGCAGGAAACAAATAGACGGAGAGAGCACTACTGTACGTGGAAAGCCCTGGTCAGATAAAAGGGTACATTGGGGGCTGACCTTTGATTGTATGCGCAGGGTGTATGAGGGGTGCCAGGTGCTTGGTATGAGGCTGGACAGGTAGGAAAGCAACTAGAGGGCACAGAGTCCTCAATACTATGTGTTTCCCAAGACGAGAGAGAGAGAGAGAGAGAGGCCTCACCATCGCCCTTGTGAGTCTTGCGCTCAGGACAGGCTTGTCTCTTGATGGAGGAGGTAGGGGCATCTACCTCTGCTCCCTGCATTCCCGCCCCTTCCATGCCTTCTCAGCTCTGCCTGCATGTGCTCTCTGGTCCTATGCTTGCAGTCTGGGATGAGAGTTCCTCCCCGCTTGTTGTAATACAACTTCAAGGTTCAGGGTGCCTTAAGAGTCACTGTCCAAGGTTCCCCAACTCAACTGGACTCTACCACAGGAACTAAGAATGTTTTCAAAAGTTTTGTTCTAAGGAAACCCCCACTTGGCATATATTCTGGGTCTGGACTTTGGGCAAAAATTGGTATTCACAAGAAGTAGGGGAGTTTCAGTGCTAACTTAAATGTCAGAGATGCAGAACTGTTAATTTACATTTGGCTTGCTGACCTTGAAGTCAGCAGAGCACATTTAATCAAACAGCCAATCTCCAAAGCACAGTAAGAGACAAAAGGCAAAACAAACAAGATAAAACCCCCACAAAAAACCCTCATAAGACAGATAAATCATTTTAAATATCTGTAACCTGTCTCTTATTTCATCCCCTTTGAAGTATAGTTTTTGTCACTTTACAATAGGAAGGTAGAATACATGTGTTATTATTATCATTTTCATATATGAAGCTACCACCGACAGTGGCAAGTTATACCCCGAGTTCTCAGTACTGTTGATAGTTCTGCGTGAAACGAAATCGTATCTCCTGTCTTACCTGGACTTCTCTGTAGCCAGAAGAATGCATCCTCCCGATGACAAAGTAAAACACATGGTATGACTAAGAAGTAGCTTTCTTCTGCACTGCTAACCAGCTACTGAAATAGCAACAGAACTTGGCCTCTTTAACACCTCCCTTCAAGGGCTGACTAGTCCTGGCCTATGAGCAGGGGTAGCAGCATGTCTTTGACATCTTTAATTATAGTATCTGTTGCAGAAAAGGACAGATAAGCCAATTATAGTATCTGTTGCAGAAAAGGACAGATAAGCCAATGGTGGGGAAGCTCTAACAATTAAGGCTGTTCTAATTCCAAGAGTGGGCTCTGCCCTATTGAAGTTCAGTTGCTTCGCATTTATTTACAAGCATTCAGTTCCAATTCCCAGGGGCTGGGAGGTTCAGGCCCTGGCAGCCTGTTACAGGTTTGATTTGTAAATTAGAAAGGCAGTATTTTGCAGGGAAAATTGACACTTGCTAGAAGATTACACACCTTGTCATTCAGTCTGTCTGTTTTCCTCTCAGGAGCCCAATGTAGGCAATGCTTAACAGGAAGTATAGTTTCCTAAATAGCTGTGTTTGAGTTACTATCTGAGCAAAAATAGAACAGAAATTAGAATATTATTCCAGGGAAGGGGGAGGGAATGCATGCTCAGAGTTAGATGATGGCAAGTAAGAGAAAGGAATATTCCCTGACTAAAACAAAGAGGGACTTTACAGGAAGGACATCAGAAACTCTCAGAACTGAAGGGACTCAGGAGATACAGGGTGGATATCAAGGCAATAGCAACCAAAACTACTGAACAATTTGCTCAGAGGGAGTGAGGTCCAGCAAGTTTCAGCCTTTTCCTCTGCTGGACCTGGCTTTTGAAATGTCATCAGGCTGTTAAAATTTTATTTAGCCCATAAGTAGTGTCTGTATTATGTGTCAAAAGCTATAAAAGACCTGAACTTGGAGAATGTAATATGAATGTCTACAATGCACATTAGACTAAATTCACAATAGAGAGGCACAATCAAGACTTTCGACTCCAAATATGAACAGAGGACAGGAATTTAGGAAGCTGGGGAACAACTCCAGGGGAAGGGCACTAGAGATAGGCACTTGGAGATAGGTTTTCCTAGAGAAGTCAGAAGCATTTCAAACTAGGATGTGCGTAATTAATACAGCCCGGTGTGAGCTCACTGTGAGCCCCTCACTTGCTTAAGTCCCTCCTTCTCCTGCCCCCACCTTTGTGACTGCGGTAACGGGGTCTAGCTCAGTGATGGAGCTTTTGCTGGAGAGATCCCTTTGCTCTAGGGAGGTTATATGTGGGAGAGAAGGAAAGGAGAAAGACACACACTGTACTACAAAGCAATAAAAAATAAGCTTCTCCCTGTATATCTTTTGGAGGGTAAGTAACAGACGACAAACCTGAAAGCAGGAAATGAGGTGGTCTCTCTTTTGATTTGTCTCCTGTAGGAAAGGGCTTCTTAGCCTTGCCTACTTTGGGAAGGGGCAAGTGCTCTTAGGGTCCGAAGGCATAAAACACTAAGCTTCACTCACCCCAGAACAGGGGTTTGGGTCCTGAAAAGCCCGTGTTTTAGTATAGTTTTCTCCGGTGAGCAGTGCTGAGCATGACCCAGTGTTGTAAGAAGAGGGCCATCAGTAGCACGGCGGACTCACTCGTGCATGCACCCATTCACGTTTATCGGACCGACTGGAGCCTGGCCCTGACTGAGGCTCGACGCTGGGGTAGAGGACGGGTGCCGCTTCCTTGAATTGCCTGTTTTCTCAGCTGTAAAGCAGGAGCTTCAGACTTAATGCCTTTGGTTTGCCGTTCCCAGAGCTCACAAAGCCTACACCCGAAGGCTGGAGCAGTGTCGGAGGAGCGGGAAAAGGGAGGCTGCTGCTTTCCCTCTGCTCCCTGGCAGGAGGAGTCCTCCAGAAGGTGCTGGCCATGCGCCCCTGTGCGCGGCCTAGCGGTCTGGTATTTGCCGAAAGCTTCGGTGCAATGCAAGAAGATGCAGTGTGTGGGGACGCGATGGACCTGCAGCTCACAGTGGATTTACTGCCCGGCAGGGAGGCGGTGCTGTGCGGGCTTCACGCGATCGGACTTCCTCGAGCAGAGCCGGGTTTATCCAGCCTTTTACACCGACTACCTCAGGAGACCAAGGGGCAGTACGTTGACTTGGAACCACTTTTCGTCAAAGTTCTTCCTTGTTGACCTTTGGTTCCCCTCTCGCCGTGCTGTGCTTCTGGGTTTCTCCACAGAGCTTCTGTCACGGTCTTTGCACCCAAAGGGGGATGCTTACGTGTGAATTTTTTTTTTCAGTCTGGTGCATTTATCTTCTCTGCTCGAATCCCAACAAATGGCCACCAAAAAAGGCTTCAAAATTGCCAGCCTTGAGACTCCTTGAGGTCCAGGTCCAATTCGTACATGACTTGTTGTCTTTTCCTCCCGTCTCACGCAGCACCCTTGACTGTGACACCTGCTAGTAGGAAGAGCTCAACAATTTTCTTCAAGGACAACATCTCAGAGCTGTTTACAGGTACCAACCGGGGCTTCAACAGAAACACCGAATGTGGATGGGATTTAGGGGGTGTCGGGAGAGTTAACAAAGTAGTTTCCAAGGGATGTGAGCTCCTAAGTGGTTCTTTCCCCCAAAATGGGTTCCCTGAAGTTCAGAAGTAGAAGCCTTCTAAGTCGGTGGGTGGAGAACCAGGAAAAGGTAGAGACTGGCTCTGGATTTAGGTTTAGTCAATTGTCAAAGTTCTGAGGAGACTCTTCAGGTCCCCGATCCATGATTCACGCCTCTGTGGTCAGACCTCGCGAGTCCCAGGCCCTGGGCTTTGGAGGTTACAGCTCATCCTCCTGGCAGCTTTAGCCAAGGCCCACTGCTTAGGAAATGCTCCATTTTCCAGAGAGGGACTAAACAGTAAAAACTACAGGACACTTTCCCATTATATAGTACTGTCATGGGGTAACATTGAAAAATTCGGAACAAATAGAGAAAAAGTAAATTCCTCCCAGCCTGGGAATATTAAACCTTCTCAGGATTACTCTTGGCTTGGGGACCCTGTGGGCCTTCCCCTCAGCCCGGACCCTGGCTGACCGACCACATCTGTCTAGAATATCAACGCAGAGGGGCAAGACTTTGATATTTTGCACCAAGAGTTACATTCTCTGCCCAGAAGTAACAGTCTCCTTCCCTCACTACCTAAACACTTAAGCACAGGGGTTCGAAAAAGGAAACTCCGAACTCTTAGGGTTATCAGCGGGAGGTGCCGCACAGAGACGGGCGGCTTCTGCCCCCTTCTCTCCGTGGACGCGTGTTTACGGCTCTAGTGTCCACCACTGTCTGCTCGACTAACTTAAGTTCAGCGAGAAGAGCCACGCTTGGCACCGGGCGGCCGGACAGGATCCCCCGCTCCGATACTGGCCCCAAGCCCAGGCAGCGGAGGCTGGAAGGCTGGGGCTGGGCGTGAGCTTCCTGCCAGGTGGCCCGGTGGTGGAGACGGTAAGGTTGTTTCTAGGGATCCCCTTCGGCCCACTGTCCCTTTGCTCAATCCGGCTTCTGTCACCTTCTCTGTTGTCGCTCTGGTCCCCGTGTGGGCGATGTGAAGGCTCCTTCCCGTGGGGTGGGCTCCCCAGGAAGACCCGGAGAGGCTGCCTCCCCCGGTGCTGCTCTGCCCCGTGCCTCATTCGTCAGCCTCCCTTGCTCCAGACGCGTCCCGCTGGTACCGCCCCTGTTCAGGTCCCGAAAGGATGAGCTTAGATTGAGATTCACAGCGGTGCCTGCGTGCAGCCGCGTTCCGTCCGGTTCGGGCCGAGTCCCGGCTGCGAGCGGAAGGTGAGACGCCCTCACTCGGCGACCCTCCAGCC